TGTCAGACTCTGGCTCATGTAAAGGCTGGATGAACAAGTCTTAGCTAACATTTTTTAATTAAATTGTGAATAAAACTTTTCTGCAAGCTAGGAAACATTACCCCCCCCCTCTCTCATACCGGAGTGGACCGGTCTGGAAGCCGGAGGGAGGCGGGGCTTGAAACATCTTAAAGAAACAGTAACAAAACCAGCTGTTTTGAGACACACAGGAGAAAAGGGGTGAAAGAGGGGCTGGTAAAGTTAGAATAAGAAGGAATTCAGACCAAATCATTACAGTTGCACTTTATAAAGATCCTTACAGAATGATTTAAATGTGAAGAGGAAGGATTTAAAAGGCGTCATATGTCCCTTTTAAGAAAATAAACATGCTAAGAGATGCACTCATGATGGTGAACTGGTGACTGGTTTGCTTTCATTCTGGGAATCAYAATGTTGTTTCTTGCAGCCTTCCTTTGGGCAGCCAGGTTATTGCCGTGCCGGTGAACTCCTCTCTGTCCTGGCACACCAACCGACTCAGGGACAACAGCAAAGACGCGTATAACGTCAGCTATGCCTGGAAACTGGTACGTGGCCACGTAGACTTGTATTTTTTCCTTTTATTATTTTACGTCTGAACTAAAAACTTGTGTCAGTCAAAGTCTCAGTTTAATTTACTTGTGCTTTTATTTTTCCTTTCTGTTTAAAGCCCTTAATCATTTTATACTCCTGACTGCCACCATATTAAATTAGTCAGCTTAATGAAACCCATCAAGCCCCCACGCCCAGGAACCGTTTAACCCTTGAACCGGTTTTTCTTCAGAAGTCCAGAAAAAGTCATGTTTTCAGGGAGAAATGGCAGCAGGACAGCAACAAACACCCCGCTACTGAGTCTGACTGTTCTCTGACATTTAGATTTCTTTTTTTTCCCCTCTTCTCTTGGCAGGAGCAGAAATATCACACTTAATTTAGCCGTTTCCCATCAGCCTCTCCTTAAATGTTTTCTGACATTTAGGTTTGTTTTTTTTTTGGGACTCAGAAACGAGAGTTTAAACACGTCACTTTTGGCACAAGTTAGTTTTTCGACTCTGTTGTCGTTTTGTGACTCGGAACTCGACACATTTGGGAACCACTGTTTTATTTGCACATGTTGAATATATTCTTTTTTTTAGGTACAACAATATTTCTGTAAAAAAAATGAACGCCTCCTCTTCGTGTCTTTTAGGTCCAGGACACGTCTTTCGTCCTGTGCATYGTGTACGTGCAGCCAGAGATCCCCGTGAAGCAGCTGAAGAACCTGAACACTGCTCCCAGCTCCAAGCTGCTCTACCATCGTTTGGACCTGCTGGGTCAGCCCAGCTCCTGCCTGCACTTCAAGCAGCTCGCCACTGTTGGTAGGAACCAAAAAAAAAAAAACAACCTACAGCTCTCATTTGTATTGCAGTTTGGTTTAAAAAAAAAACAAACGTTTCTTACTGTCTCTTTGTCCCTCTCCTGTCTTGTTTTCCCAGAATCCCCCACCGTGATGCTGTCAGCTGGAAGCTTCTCCTCCCCCTACGAGCACCTCAGCCAGCCCGAAACAAAGCGGATGGTGGAGCACTACACCGCCTATCTGAGCGATAACACCAGGCTCATTGCCAATCCGGGCCTCAAGGTGAATCCAGACTCCTTTTAAACCCACGCTGACGCAGCTCGTTTGTTGTTTACCAAACAAACGTGTAAGAAAACTCCCCGTCCTGAGGTCGACACCTAAACACAACGTCTGTGTCCCACCTTTAACAACGCTTTTATTTTTATTTCTTATYACTCACATATTCTAAAATCCCAGCCTGCACGTTTTAGCTCTGCAGCAGACGTTATAAAAACTTTTAAAAAATGATGTTCTGCATCTTTAAGAAGGGGACAAATCCCCACCAGGGATTTTGGCATTCTGTTTGCATTCCTTTCCTGGRGCAGGGGTGGGGGGTGAGCTGGCGATTGAACTCACAGCCGAAATCTCCGTACAGATTCCCAGGCTTGCCTTTACACTGCAAAAACTGTCCACCTAACCAAGTTTGAAAATGTTATATACAGCCAAAAAGTATTTTTGATCTTGTTTTGAGAC